ATCTACACGATCGTGATGGGAAATGATATAATGGCGTCCTGATGCCCTCTATTTAATAACATTCTTTCTTCGAAAACTATCAAAGAGAAGTATTTAGCCGCGTGCGACAGGCAGTGCCTAATTTTCGGCGGAACAGCTACAAACCTCACCGTACAAGTTTATGTATTTGTTTAATGTAATGTATATGTATATTCGCGTGCAAAGAAACGGGATCGAGAAGCCATGTCTGTATGTGGAAGGCTAGGCAAAATGAAAAAGTCGAAGAAGCATTAGAAGTGAGCTTAGAACGGATGACGGGCACATTTTTGACATTGGAAGCTACTCTGGAAATTCGACTGGAAAAGAGTGCAGCTTGATGGCTCGCCGCATTGCAAACGGGACCAGTGAGCACCTAACCAAAAATGGTTTCTTGGCCGAGAAGAGAGCCAAATATGTTGGGCTGTAAGTCGCTTGACATTGCCGATGGTAGTACATCGGCTCCAATCAGGACATCGATTGGTGTGAGCTCTCGAAGAATGTAGGATCCGCTAATGGAAGACTCGACAAGTCTTTCAATAAACTTGGCGAGAAAGGATGCAACGGAAGATTATTTGCCAATTCCGGAAAAACGTAGGCTGCGGCGTTTAATTGAAAACCCGGCCTCGTTGGGGAGCGAATGGAGAATGGCTGGAGATCTGTGTCTGAATACGTTGGAATGGCAATTGAATCGTGTTGAAAAGGCGTTCCGTAATGAACGTTACTTTGGAGCCCGAGACGATCAGAGCGCGGACGCGGAAATTTTTCCCCAGGTGGCAAATATTAATAATTGCCGTGCCTAGAAGGACAGAGCTTGTGCCGGAGGCGAAATACGTCTGAACTTTAGGATGAGGTTCAGAAGAACTTGAATTTTCTGAGGAAGGTACTGGTCGATTGACGTCTGGCCAAGCTGTGGAATCGGGTACGGATGTGGAATTGGGTACGGATGTGGAATTGGGTACGGATGTGGAATGTGACTCGATGGAAGCTGGATTGCATTGATGCAGAAGCAGAAGCAATTTAAGCAGAGCTGCTTTTGCTTTATGCAGCTGGAGCGAGCATCAACGGTCAGTTAGTTTTAGAATGGCATCGTAGAAACTTTCAAAAGTTTCCTTTTCCTTCTGCTTCCTATCCCTAATCATTTGGCGAATATCCACATCCGTTCTGGAGTCTCGGAATTGCTTCTATAGCGCTGCACACAGCTCTTGCCACCGTACTACTCCTGCTGACTTGTGATAGCGCCAAAAGAAATCAGAAGCCTTGCCTTCAAATAGCGTATTAGCGTTTCCACATAGAAGTGAAAAATTCCCATCTAAGGTTTGGTGGTGAGGGTTACATAAGCTGCATTCAACGACACGAGGAGGAACATCTTTTTGTGGAGATCTATCCAAACCCATAGAATTATCTAATTTTTCTCAAACTTGATCCCAATCTCTAAACCTATTCCAAAAAAAAATTTGCTTAATTTAGCAAAACAATAAAAATAAATACTGAAATTCTTTGAAATAACTCAAAACAAAAAGATTACACTAGTCAACACGATTTTTCCTCAAGGAACAAAACGAACTTTTTCTTAAAGATTTGGGGCTTAGAAATGGTTTGATGATATTTTTTTTTTTCTATTGCAGAACTTTTTGTTGAAGAATTTTTGAAAACTGGTATTTTTTTTTTAAGCTTTTTTCAGAGGTAGCGCTTGTTTTTTTCAGATAGCTCTAGTATCTTACGTCTGGTTGTAAAGAACTTTGCTATTTTGAAAAGGTAATTAAAACAGCTTGAAGTTAAGCCCAAATACTTTGTGAGTTCAGCTTACCGTCTGGGAAATATAAAGCATTGAAATGCAAAAATGATGATTTTTGTGCGGTATTTTTTACGAAATTTTGACTTTAAAAACTCAGGAAAAGTCGAAAAAAAAATTATATCTTGTGTCCTCTATTTTTTTGTGTATAGGTGCGTTAATTTGGCGTCGTTTAAGGTATCGCTCATTAAAATCTATGGAGAGACTTTGGAGCTAAAATTCGTTAACCAAACCTAAAATATGGAAAAAATGAACAAAAAATACCTTTTGGAAGGTAGCGGGCCCACGAACAAGGGTTGTACATTTGGTACCTGATCGCGTTCCTTTGTTCCCAATGGGCAGTTGGGCTCGCAACCTTCCAAAAGGTATTTTTTGTTCAAGTCGGTTTGGATCCTTGAGGAAAAAAAAAGTTCGATTATGTCGAGTAGTGTTATTGATCTCCCTGTTAGACTAGCTCCCTGCAAAGCCTCTCATCATTTTCCGAATTACTTCACCAAAGACAAAGAGGAAAGCTAATCTTGGCAAGTTCGAACATATAAGCCGTGGGCAGTGGCAGAATAAAATTCTGCACATCTGCATCCAATTTCGGCTAATATTTTGCTTCTAATAGAAGCATTACTCCAAGTTGCCAAGAAAAGAAAGAAGAGAAAATACAAGCTTGAGTATAGAACGACATCAGCCGTGGCCAGAAGTGCTCTTATTCAAATTGCATCACCTGTAAATCCCAAACGCTTGATGTACATTCTCATGCAGCCTGCATTCAGTTAAGTAGTACCAACATCTCAAACTGACCTGACTTGGACAACTGACAGCTACTTAAAGCTATTCTTGTAGTATTCCAAAAAAAATCAGGACAGCTTGGCTATCTGTACCGAAACAAAGAGAACTCACTCAGAACCCACAGAATCCTGGCCCGGAACATACCCTAAGGTTAAGTTATTTTCCGGTATTCCAAGACCTGGATGAGAACTGTATGACAGCGGAAATGTTTTATTGATTTCTTCTTTTTCATCTACCATAACGACCGCGGAAGACTTGTTAAATTTTCCTACTTCCTACCCCGCAGATAAGCGAAAAGACAATAAAAAAAAGAAAATTCATTTAGAGATAGTTTTTTTTAGGCCATTGTTCGTGAACCACACCAATAAGTAACAATTTTTTTGAATTCCCATCCAAAATTGTGGACCCACGTTGGGCGCCAATAATAAAAATAAATGTAATGGTTAACCCACTGTGTAGGCAAGATGACACTCTTAACTATTGGACGGCACGCTAATTCATTTTTTTCCGGCTGCTGGCTCGTCGGCTACGAGTGTGGTGTTCTTCTGTCCAAAGCTAAGGCCTACCCTATTATTAATTTAAAATTGTAAAGCGAGCACAATAACTAAGCCATTAATAACCGGACGGAAAGCACAACACCTAAAACGGAAGACAATAACTACACTTGGGAAAACGGACAACATTCCTCTGATGTATTTGAGGAACACTTCCCCCACGCTACCTTGGTCTTGTATGTGCCATTTCACCGAATCTTTACAAGACCCCTTTATGTTTGAGGGGCCTACAGGGGCATTCCGCTGGAGATCAATCTATATTGTATTACTCACACATTATAATAATTTATTTAATACTAAAACTCTAACATTTCATTCTGTACTCTTTCAAATAATCCCGTAATGTTTTCCCCCAGGTTACTAAATATAAATTAATTACCAATAAATACAAATATTCAGACTTAAATAACTAGAGAAAAATATATTAAAGGTAAAGAAAGTAAAGGTAGAAAATAAAACAGAAACCCAAATGGGCATGAGCCATTGGCATCAGAAAGAGAGGTAAAAGAAACAGAACTAAAATGCTTATCTGCATATGTATATTTGAATACCCTTTAATTTGTGGGTGTGTGCATGCGAAAGAGATGTCATGCCCTTTTGTGGCTCTCTCTTGAGCCTTGGCCAACAAATGCATAAATTGTGGACGCCAATAAAATTAAATATTACAAAAATTACTCACAATAGACCTCCATCGACGAAACGCTTCCGATTTAGTCACTGTAATTAAATCACTAAACAAACAAAAAAACAAAGAAACACACACACAGTTCGCATGACACCTACAAAAAAAATTTACCGGTGCTATCGGTTTGGGGTTGTTAAAGTTACTCCTATATTTCTTATTTACATCGTCATGATTTGCTCTTCTCTCTTTTGATCAGCGGTACTTTCGGATTACCGGTGCCTGAGGGCTCGGCCTCAGCAGCGGAGGCAGAGAGAAACAAAGAGTGATAGAGATAAAAAAAAAGAATAGATGGATAGAAAGGGGAATAGAATGAGACTGGCGAAATTCGGATTGTAATTAGGAGTGTTCAGAAAATTATCCCCGTTTTAGTTTATAATTTTCTATAGTTGACGTTCTCCCTCTTCCCGTCCCGCTCGGTTGCGACGCCGCGGTTCGCGTTGAAGAGGCTGCTGCCGGGTACTAGTTTGTCGCCTCTTCTGTCGATCGCAATTCAGCCTTATGCGAGCGCCAAAGCTCCGGCGAATTCGCTGCTCCAGCTGTGTCGATGTGGCTGACGAGCCTCCTCCAAGCGCTAGCCTACATACATACATATGCATATATATATATTTTTTTTTGTACTTGCCTAGCTGCTGCTAGCTCTCGTTCTGCTTATCCGAACGGCTGATCCGTAGAAAGTGGGCGAATTTGTTGACCAATGGTGCGTTATAGTGCCTCAAATTAATTTGTGGTTATTTATAGGAATGGTATTCAATGTTGGTATGGTCTTTTATAGTACACTGCACTTGAAAAAGATTTTACACTTGGTCTTCTTTTATCTTTTCTTTCCACTCAAACGCTATCTACACGATCGTGATGGGAAATGATATAATGGCGTCCTGATGCCCTCTATTTAATAACATTCTTTCTTCGAAAACTATCAAAGAGAAGTATTTAGCCGCGTGCGACAGGCAGTGCCTAATTTTCGGCGGAACAGCTACAAACCTCACCGTACAAGTTTATGTATTTGTTCAATGTAATGTATATGTATATTCGCGTGCAAAGAAGCCGGCCGTTTTGCTTATGGGTGTTAAGCGAAGTCATCTCCATATATCTAGTACTCCGATAATGTAAAAGTAAGCTGCCGGCAGCTGTCGGCAGCGAGAGCGGGAGCACGAGCGTGGCGAGTATGAGCGCGAGTTACCACCTCAGCACCTACTCTCACCCTCGCCCCGCCGAAACCACTTCGGCTAGCATAGCAGGCCCTAACGTCAACAACGTCGACTCCGCAACAAAGTTGCACCAGCTCAACTTACATAAACAATATCAGACCTCAGCAACCAAACATCCGTTCCGATTGAGGAATGGGGAGTAAGCAGATTCTCTGTCGCCCAAAAGAGCAAGGCCAGCAAATTGTAATTAAGTTGAAAACCTAAAGAAGAAATATAGAATCAGAATACTTTTGAAACTCAACCACTCCGGGTGTACTTTATTCCGCAACCAAGTCCAACTACAACTCCCCAAACAACTTAACCGATCCACTAGGATCATAACTGGCGCAGTCGGACACTCTCGTTAAAGGACGGGAATCTGGAGGAAGTAGGACCCTAGAGGACCGAGACAGCGAGAGAGAGAACCACGCAAGAGATGTATTGGAAAATAGCGACACTAACAATCCTGTAAGGAAAGATATCAGAAAATATGTACGTGTGAGTAGAGTGACGTGAAATGGAGAAAATAAAACAAGAAAATAAAATAAATAAAAAGTAATAAACCCTCAAATTGTGAGAACGAGAAGTACGGGAATACAATGGTGAGCAGTGAAATGGGCAATCAATAAAAAGAGATAGCATGGCACGTTGGCCGGGGCAGTGGAGATTCGAGTTATTCCGACCAAAACGAGCAGAATTAATGCAAATGCAAATAAATAAAATGCAAATAAATTGTCAGAGAGGAGTGAGGAGAAAAGAGTGCAAAAGTGTCGTGAAAAAGTGTCAGTGGACGGCGGCTCGAGAAGGGAGCGGTTCGATCATGGTGGTTCGATCGGCGGCGGTTCGACCGAGGCGGTTCGATCGTTGCGGTTCGACGGTGGCGGTTCGACCGGGAGCGGTTCGATCGTTGCGGTTCGAGCGGCGGCGGTCCGACCGGGAGCGGTTCGATCGTTGCGGTTCGACCGGCTGCGGTTCGACCGGCTGCGGTTCGACCGGCTGCGGTTCGACCGAGTGAGGTTCGAGCAGATGCGGTTCGAAGGTGAGTCGGGCAGTTGCTGACGGTTCGACGGCGAGCCGAGGGGCTGATACGATCATAGAGTCGAGAGTACGAGTAGTTGCACCAATGATCGGGTCGTCGGAGCGGACTGCAGCAGCGACGGCTTGGTTCGGCAGAGGCAGCGCTAGACACTCTGTCGGGTCGAGTCGAGCATCGAACGGTCGAAGACACACACACACACACAACATAGAGACAGGGCCGGCACAAGAAAAGAAAGGGCACAAAAGACAATGAATAAAGCAATGAGGGATAAGACTCCGCGAAGGAGGCGGTACAAATTAAAAGATACGCAATCCAAATCACTCACATGCGTAGGGCAAAGTACTGTAACGCACAGTGCGGACGCCTAGCATAGGAGCGATAATAGGAAAAAGTGAAGAGTCGACTACAAGTTCCAGCCACCCACATGCGTAGGGCAAAGTACTGTAACGCACAGTGCGGATGCCTAGCATAGGGGTGACAGGGAGATGGAAGAGGGAAACGCTACCAGGGAGACACGACTGTCCGCAATTGGTTACAGATACTGTAACGCACAGTATTGTGACTAGCTTCAGCGTGTAAGGTAAAGCCACTAAGTACACGCACATAAGGCGATTGAAAAAAAACTATAAATAAAGAGTAAACCATTTCACGGCACACCATATTATTAGAAAAGTACGATCGGAAAGATATTCATTTTAATCAATTGCAGACTCCATTTCACGAACACAAGGACACACAAGGACAAACTCGATCTAGTATAAACACTTAAGTAACACACACTATAGAATTACACAAACACACATTATAATTAAGATACACACCTTACACAAATCACTATACACACAAATACTATAAAATACGTAAAATAAGAAAAGAAAATAATCGAAATAGACTATATGTCAAAAGAAAGCAGTAGCCAAAGGGTTATTCCGGTAGACACGGAGGCTTCAGCAGTTAGCGACGAGAACCAGGGACAATTAGAAATGACCCAACCCAGCAACACAAAATTGCTCGAAGCGGTTCGAGTCATAGAGTTAGTGGAGATCATACCAAAGTATGAAGGAAGCGTGGAGAAGTTAGATGGGCTTATATCAGCGGTAGAGCAGATATTAGGCCTTATAAAAGGAAAGGAAAGGGTACAAGAACAAAAGGTTAAAAGAATAAACGCAGCGAACGAGGATAGGCAGGATCCAATACAAGTAAACACCAACGACACGATTTTTAGAAAAGAAAATAGGCGGGACAAGCTAACACCAAGGTTCACCACACATAAGGTAGCAACTGATAATAATTTAACAATAAACACAACAAAACCACAGAAAGTTCACAAGGAAAAGATTAGAAAGCTGACCAAGACTAATGATCAATAATAATTTCAGATGGGTTGCAGTGATGGAGACGAAAGGAACGTTTGAAATCAGAGAGTTTAAAGAGGATGAGCCTATCGCGCAAATCACATTAGGAACAGCCAGGGTAATACAAACATATAAAACCTTCATACACATAGTCCGACTAGATGAATATGTAAAGAGCGTTGGCCATTTGGAGCAAACGCTCAGGACTATACAAGAAGATAGCGAAACGAAGGATCTAGTTAGGGCACTCCAAAACAAATTGAATCTGGTAAAAGGAAAAATAGAAACGATATCGCCCAAGAAGAGAAGTAAGAGGGGATTGATTAACGGATTAGGTTCGGTAGTAAAGGCAATCACAGGAAATCTAGACGCAGAGGATGCGGAAAAATTGGAACAGGAGATCAGAAGAGTACAGGAAGAAGAAGGAAGGTTAAATGAAGAAATAAGTACACGTCAGAACATGGACAATAGGTTCATTATAATGTTTAAAAACTTAACACAACATATTAACGAAGAACAAATTAGGGTAAACTCTTTTATTAACAACTATAAAAACGGGATAAGTAAAACATTTGTGGAAGAAGACAAAAGAATTTATAGAATAGAATACATTGACAGAATTTCAATCACGATAGACATGATAGCATTGAACCTCAACGAAGTAACGGAAAGCCTATTATTAGCAAGGGTAGGAATAATCCCCAAGTTCATATTAAATAAAGAAGAATCACAGAAAATTACACAGAATTTAGAAGACCAAAAGGTGCAGATACTATCAGAGGAACACATGTACGAATTTTTAGAGTTAAAAGCCATAATGAATGGTACCGACATAATATTTTCAATAAGTCTACCAATTTTTAAGAAAGAAATGTATGTACTGAAAAGATTACTACCATTACCCATAAATAAGACAGAATTTGTAATAGCACCTAATTTTGTAGCTCATAACAACAACAAAATGTATTATTATAAGAACAAATGTCAACAAATAAGGGAACTTTATACATGTAAAAACGACAAGATCGTAAAGAGAATCAACGAAGGTTGTCTGAGAAGTCTGATGAATGGAGTGGCAACGGAATGTGAGACAAAAGATATAGGATTCCGCAGAGAAATCTTCCAACCGGAAAAAGGATATATTGCAATTTTCAATGGTGAGGAAGTGAAGATACAGACGGATTGTGGACTAGAAAAAGTATTCAGCGGATCAGCAATCATCATTTTCAACGATTGTGGAACAGTAGTTAACAACATCCAATACGAGGCAGTAGAGCAGCTAGAAGTGGGACACATGAAACTCGACATTCCACAGATAATGTCCTTGAAGAAAAACCGAACAACTCAAGAATTGGGGATCCACGAACTCAAGATGGAGGACATCAAAACTAATTTGGAAATTGGAAGAATGCGAACCGGAATGGTGATACAGACTACAACAACGTATGCAGCTCTTGGAGTACTACTGGTGGGTGCGATATGCACAGTTTATTTTTCAAGAAGGACGACCATTTACGCAACAACAACTACAAACCCCACTCCCACACCATCGCACACCTTCGCACCAACCATTCCTCCGTTATGGTCAGTAGCTCAGACTGAGGGGGGAGGAGTTACCACCTCAGCACCTACTCTCACCCTCGCCCCGCCGAAACCACTTCGGCTAGCATAGCAGGCCCTAACGTCAACAACGTCGACTCCGCAACAAAGTTGCACCAGCTCAACTTACATAAACAATATCAGACCTCAGCAACCAAACATCCGTTCCGATTGAGGAATGGGGAGTAAGCAGATTCTCTGTCGCCCAAAAGAGCAAGGCCAGCAAATTGTAATTAAGTTGAAAACCTAAAGAAGAAATATAGAATCAGAATACTTTTGAAACTCAACCACTCCGGGTGTACTTTATTCCGCAACCAAGTCCAACTACAACTCCCCAAACAACTTAACCGATCCACTAGGATCATAACTCGCGCGAGAGCGCGTCTATGGGGTGAAAATGCTCATAAGCGTGAGAGCGAGAGCGAGGGACACAGCTTGCGTAGCTGGAATGCTAACAGTGGTGTGGCTGGAATGCCCACAGAGCTATTGCCCCGCCAGCGCCGTCCCCACTCTGAACACTCGGGATTGAAAAGACCCTATATGCTCCGATTTTGGCGCAAGGAGGTTGGTGGGTACCGAGACCCGGGAAGGTGGAGTAACGTGTGGTCGTTCCGGCTACACACCTTACATCGATCACCGCTTCGGCAATCCTGGCCGGAGTGTCGGTGAGCCAGGCAATTGGTGCAGTAGCTGAAATGGAGGACAGATTGGAGCCTCCTTTCGGAATCCAGTCGGAGAAAGTGGAGGCACTTCCGTAGAGGATGGATTTCAGAGCAGACTCGGCATTGGTAGGACTTAGTACTTCGGGAACGTCTGCTCTCCACGGTGCGGTCGAAACGGGATCGAGAAGCCATGTCTGTATGTGGAAGGCTAGGCAAAATGAAAAAGTCGAAGAAGCATTAGAAGTGAGCTTAGAACGGATGACGGGCACATTTTTGACATTGGAAGCTACTCTGGAAATTCGACTGGAAAAGAGTGCAGCTTGATGGCTCGCCGCATTGCAAACGGGACCAGTGAGCACCTAACCAAAAATGGTTTCTTGGCCGAGAAGAGAGCCAAATATGTTGGGCTGTAAGTCGCTTGACATTGCCGATGGTAGTACATCGGCTCCAATCAGGACATCGATTGGTGTGAGCTCTCGAAGAATGTAGGATCCGCTAATGGAAGACTCGACAAGTCTTTCAATAAACTTGGCGAGAAAGGATGCAACGGAAGATTCTTTGCCAATTCCGGAAAAACATAGGCTGCGGCGTTTAATTGAAAACCCGGCCTCGTTGGGGAGCGAATGGAGAATGGCTGGAGATCTGTGTCTGAATACGTTGGAATGGCAATTGAATCGTGTTGAAAAGGCGTTCCGTAATGAACGTTACTTTGGAGCCCGAGACGATCAGAGCGCGGACGCGGAAATTTTTCCCCAGGTGGCAAATATTAATAATTGCCGTGCCTAGAAGGACAGAGCTTGTGCCGGAGGCGAAATACGTCTGAACTTTAGGATGAGGTTCAGAAGAACTTGAATTTTCTGAGGAAGGTACTGGTCGATTGACGTCTGGCCAAGCTGTGGAATCGGGTACGGATGTGGAATTGGGTACGGATGTGGAATGTGACTCGATGGAAGCTGGATTGCATTGATGCAGAAGCAGAAGCAATTTAAGCAGAGCTGCTTTTGCTTTATGCAGCTGGAGCGAGCATCAACGGTCATTTGTAGGAAATGAGGACATAATCCGACTATGTGATTCTCCTTGGAACAGAGATCACACGTGCTCTTGCTTGGATTCACGTTGTTTTGGAACGAGTGCGCTGTCCTTGGAACAGGACTGCCTTGGGAACGGAACGGATTGGACTGGCTTCGGGAGGATGGCGGATTCTGACTGCCTCTGGCGAGTTGCGGAATCGGAATCGCTCTCGATAGCCTCTAGCGTTAGGTATCGCTGACTGAGGAAAGAGTCGATTTCCTTCCAGGGCGGCACCTCCTTTTTGTCCGTTATGGACGCTTACCATAACGCCCGGCTCAACTTTGGCAATTTGAAAGCACAGATGGTCACTAGGAGACTATCCCCATTGTCGGTACAGACATTTGGGACAGCTAGTGCATTTAGGACCCACTGCATCGTACTTTGCAGATCCTTCAAAGCACGACTGCACTCGGAAGTTACGCGGGGCAAGAAGAGGAGGATGTTAATCTGGTTGGTAACCAAAAGCCGATTATTCTTATATCGGCTACGGAGAGCTAACCATGCGGACACGAAACCGTCATTGGTGAGGGGGGATTTCTCTACGATGGCCTTTGGATCGACCCGGGTCTTCTCGGTGAGGTAGTACAATTTCTCGACAGGGATAAGATGTGCAGGAAGATGAACTGTGGTTGTGGCCAGCTGAGCGTTGAGGTCACTGAGGCACTGCTCAAATGCCCCATAGCATTCTCTTCCCGGATGTCAGCCTGGATTGCTGGATACTTGTCAGCCATCACCGCGGAGTCAGGCCTGCTCGGCTTCGACGTCCGTCCACATATGGAGGATTTGTCCTCGGCGGACCTCGGCCGCTCTGCCAGGTGGGAAAGTCGGCCAATGGCGGGGACCAATTTAGTCCGAGCGACAGAGGTGGCGGGTTGAGCCATTGTGGTGCAGTGGCGGAAGCTGACGGGGCTACTGACGAACGAGCCTTTCGGATCTTTTTGTGTCAGAGCTGCAACCTTGAGGGTCACGGGAGAAGGAAATAGAACCGATTTCGTCCTTGCAGCTGGGCTACTACTTGCTGCTCTCGGAGTGAGGGGTGACTTGTTTTTTTGTGTCGGTGTTGGAAGTCTTGGAATCGCGAATCGTGTGGTGAAAAAACTATCGGAGGATGTATGCAAAGACACACAAAAAAACAATGATTATTTATTTAATTAATGTTGCTTGAAATTGATCGAGAGTTGATCTGATTCGGAAATGCCCTTGTAGGATTTACGTGTGTGTGTGTGTATATTTGGATGTTATTGTGTATATCAGCTGCGGAGCTGCTCTTGTGAGCTGGAATGCACTTGCTGACTATTTTTACTTTTAATTATTTTCACAATTAATGCACAGACAAAAAACGGAATTGAATAACTACCGTAGCACTGGTAGTTGAAGTTGAATAAGCGGAGAACGGCCGGAAGCGATATGTGGAAAACGATAGTCGTACTTATCTTGAAATTCTCTTGTGGTCAAGTTGCTGTCAATTCTTGAAAGCTGGATTTTCCTTATAGGGAAGGCGAAATATCCGGCTCGAAACACCAATGTTTAACCGGCAGGGCGTCTCAGGGGGAACCACAGGTCAGTTTCCAAGATAAAACAATGCCGGTCCAAGCTCTTCAGTTTATGTATTTGTTCAATGTAATGTATATGTATATTCGCGTGCAAAGAAGCCGGCCGTTTTGCTTATGGGTGTAAAGCGAAGACATCTCCATATATCTAGTACTCCGATTATGTAAAAGTAAGCTGCCAGCGGCTGTCGGCAGCGAGAGCGGAAGCACGAGCGTGGTGAGTGTGAGCGCGCCAATGCGCGTTATGTGATGAAAATGCTCATAAGCGTGAGAGTGAGGGCAACAGCTTGCGTAGCTGGAATGCTAACAGTGGTGTGGCTGGAATGCCCACAGAGCTGTTGCCCCGCCAGCGCCGTCGTCACTCTTAACAGAAATGCAACCATGATGATTTTTTGTCGGTATTTTTTACGAAATTTTGACTTTAAAAACTCAAGAAAAGTCGAAAAAAATTATATGTGTTCTCTATTTTTGTGGTTATACGTGCATTAATTAGGCGTCGTTTAAGGTATTGCCCATTAAAGATAATGGAGAAATTTTGGAGATAAAATTCGTTAACCAAACCTTAAAAATGAAAAAAAATTAGCAAAAAATACCTTTGGGTAGGTTGCGGGCCCAACTGCCGATTGGGAACAAAGCAATCGAAAAAGGTACATTTGGTACCCGATCGCGTTACTTTGGTATGAAATGTTGTTGACAGTTATTTCGTTATACCCAATCTGAGGTAGGATACCTGACCTGTTCAGGTCAAGTATTTCCTTTATATTCTCTGATGATTATGTTAATATCGTCCAAGAGCTAATTAAGAATTATAAAAAAATCGGGGAAAACATGTCACTAAAAAATAGGTACATTTGGTACCTGATCGCGTTCCTTTGGTATGAAATGTTGTTGACTATTTCTATTTCTTATACCAAATACTGTATTTCACCATTTATTAAACTTAATATTAAACCAAAGCCCCCACATATATTCTTGATCAGCATCAATAGCCGAGTCGATAGAGCCATGTCTGTCTGTCCGGTCAGTCCGTTGGCCGAGAGAGTTTCGATCCAGCTGCCGACGTGAGAGGGTTGTGGAAAGAGACCAGACGACGAACGACGCTTAAATTCTATTTCTTATACCAAATACTGTATTTCATCATTTATTAAACTTAATATTAAACCAAAGCCCCCACATATATTCTTGATCAGCTACGCTCTTGCTTAAGCCGGTCGTCTTTTCAGCTCGCTCCTGCATTTTTTGCCTTTTTGCCAATTTAATTTCAATTAATTAATTACAACAAATCGTGTACATCTTAAACTCATCATAATTGGTCCTTTTTTGTGCCAATTATCTGTGTTTCGCTGTTTAACAATTGAGTAAATAATAACTTTATATTTCGAACGCGTATCAGACGTGCGCAAGCAATTTGTTAGTGCTTTTATCCATTCCGCTTTGGATCATTGCTCTCTGCGCTCACTGTGCGTGCACTCCATCCGTTATATCGCCTATCAACACACGCTCTGGAGAGCATAAGTGCAAGCTCTCTTGCTCTCACTCTCACTGGACTTCGCCTGCATCTGCATCTTCTTGAATTGCTCTCTCGGTGTCTCTGTTTCGTGAGCTTCACCGTTTGTTTTCGTCACTTCGCTGGATCGTCTGCCGCTGCTGCTGATCGTCGCTCGCTCTGCTGCCTGCACTCTTATATCGCTTGCGCTCCCACTTTGCGTTTTTCTTCGAGCACAGTGATTCAACTACTGTCAAAAATGGTTCTTGTCTGCAGAGCAAAGAAATGCAAATTTGGAGGCAACATAGTCGGCGATTCATTCCTCTGCTGTTGGCTGTGCGACAATGTTGCCCATATAAAATTTGCTGGTGGGGGTAATTTTGGACGTCTACACGATCTCATCTCAAAACGCATGGGTCTGACTTGGTCATGTTTGGCCTGCCGTGAGATTGAGGCCGAAATGCGCACTTTTATGAGACAGACTCGTACTGGTTTTCAGGATGTCCGGAAGCAATT